GCAGAGGTGTGCCGAACTTGCGTGAGCTGAGAGGGGTGCCAACCCCTATCCGAGCACCAGGCTATCTACATGGGACTTTGTGAGACAGTCTAAAGCTAACCTTCATCCAGAAGTAAGACAAGGCTGTTGGTCTGAACCATCGCTAAGTACCCCAGAGGTCTGCAGACTGCTTCGGTGAGCCACGCTTAGCCTCACTGTGATCAGTGGGCTAGTGGAGACAGGTTTCAGTTGGGAGATGTGGAAGGTGGGATGTATCTTCATGTTGGCAGGTAAACGAAGTCTGATAGCTGTGGGGTTAATGATCTTCTCCACTGGAAAGGGGCCGATGAACCTGGGGGAGAGCTTTCTAGGAAAGTCCTTAAGGCTTATGTCACGTGTACCTCTTGTCCGACTTGATATGAAGGGGCGGTGGAACGATGGCGGTCAGCAAACCTCTTGTTCTGTTGTGCTGTACGAAGAAGGGCTCTTTGAGTCTGGCTCCAGATTCTTCGACAGCGTTGGATGTGGTGGTGGACGGAMGGGACCATACTTTCAACCTCATCCTTGGGAAACATTGGAGGGTTATACCCAAYMGAGGCCTCAAAAGGAGAGTAACCAGTAGCGGAGGAAGTGTGACAGTTGTGTGCATACTCAACCCAGGTAAGATGTTGACACCATGAGGAGGGATTGTTATTTATGACGCACCTGAGAGACGCCTCGAGTTCTTGGTTACACCTCTCCGTTTGCCTGTTAGATTGAGGGTGATGTCCAGAAGATAGACTGACCTTAGTACCTAAGGCATTACAGAAGGCCTTCTAGACGTGGGAGACGAACTGGGGTCCTCGGTCGGAAACTATGTCGGTGGGTATACCACGCAGACGAACGACGTGGGTGACAAGGAGCTGCGCGGTCTCGAATGCCGTGGGTAGTTTACTCAAGGGGACGAAATGTGCTGCCTTGGAGAAGTGATCAACAATGGTTAATACGACTGTGTTACCTTCTGAGGGAGGTAGTCCTGTGACAAAGTCCAGAGCGATGTGGGACCTAGGCCGAGCAGGAGTGGGTAAAGGTTGCAGAAGTCCGGCGGGTTGTTGGTTTCCACTCTTGTTTCGAGCACAGGTGGGGCATGCTGTAACAAACTCTTTTATGTCCTGATACATTGTTGGCCACCAAAAGTATCTTTTAGAAAATGACAACATGCGAGATATGCCAGGATGACAAGTAAACCTGTGATTATGCATCCAATCCAGTACTTTACCCACAATGTTCTTAGGTATGAATCGGGTGCCAGGAGGTCCAGAGCCGGGATCAGGTTCAGTTTGTTGAGCCAGGT